CAGCAGCCTGGAAAGGATCACAAGCCCCCCCCCCCCCACCTCTCACCTTGGCCAAGAAGGAGAGCTGTGAAAAATCGGACAAAGCCAGGTTGCAGCTAATGTCTCGCCGCCCGCCGGGGTCACCGGAGTCCCCACCTTCACTGGAGCCCCCCCCCTCCATCTCTCCCGCGACCCGCCAGTACAGCCTTGTGTCCGAAGACTGGGACCTCGTCCTCGGCGTGTCCAGCGCCGTTCGCGTTCCCGACCCCGAGGAGCTGTGGAGGTGTTGGTGCTGGTAGCACGGGGGGTTGTGGTGCCCGCCCGGGATGTTTTGCAGGGAAGAGAAGTCGCCGCCGACCTTGATCATGCGGTCACAAGCGTAAGCATGTGCCTCCAGCGGAGAAACGATGCCTCTGCTGCTGCTGCTGCTGCTGCTGCTGCTGCAGTGCTGATTCTGGGGCATCGAAATCGCCACCTGTCGGACTGACTCTGCCTGTAGCCTGCCGACGGGTCCGCCGCTTCTCCTTCCTCCCTTTCCTGCAGCACCGAACACGATACACGCATAACAAAGCGAACCAGCACCAACAACCGGTTTGTATTGGCTGTCAGTCACTACTGCTGTACGTATTGCTCTTCGGCAAACGGCGGTGCGATGGCGTAGACTCTTATGAAGGGTATGGATAAAACACACGGACGAGGCACTCTTGTGGTAAGCCTCCCTTTGACTCCGGGGGGGTTGACTCCGGGGGGGTGGGGGTATACATTGTGCTGCCTCGAAATGGACAACACGTGCTGTAAAACAACAGGATGGGGTGGTCCTCCTTTCTCCTGTGTGACCCCGGCTTGTGCGCCCAGAATTTGTACCAATGGTGTAAAGAACGACGTCAAGAATAGACTCGATGCACATGAAGGTAGCATCGCCAGGTGACCGTGTCTTCTTTGCAACAAGCATCGCAAACGATATACTCCCAGGTCAGGTGTTACTAACTAGAAACGCTCACGAGGGCAGACTGGTGAGCCACCCACGACGTTCTGCCATGTAAGCCCGCGCTTTTGCTTTATCTTTGCGTTTGCTTCTGCTGCTGTATTCAAGTGTGGTGACAGGAGAGAAAGACTTCGGGCGCCGTCCCTGCCTCCGTCCTCATGACTACCCTTGCAACATTCTCTCGGAAGCGGATGACGTTGTTGAGGAAAAGGGTGGTAGATGGAGGCTGTGCGATTCGCACATGCATACGAGGGGCACAAAGTCGGAGATTTTAGTATTTGTGCGACCAAGACTGACTGTAAGCGTACTTCACGGTGCTCTCGGCTTTGTCTCGAGCTCGCGACAGGGCGTTGCGTATCGGAAGATTGGCACGCTCAGGTCGGTGAAGACAGTCGGAGAAGATATTTTATCCAGATTTCAGAGTGCAATAGTGGTTGCGTTTCAGAATGCAACGCCGGTTTGTTGTCGCTTGAACCCTTCCCCCTCCCTCGTGGCCCCCGGTGGTAGTGAAAGATCCGCATCTATCCCTCCCCTCTCCGACACGCCCGACTGTGGCAAAACTGAAAGACTCGTGGCTCAAGCCGTTGCAAAGTAAGTCCAACCACGATTCATCCACACTCCCTCTCCCTCATGCCTCCCGGGTGGTTGCTAAAGGGAAAAAATCTACTCTCTCTCTTCCCTCTGGGCTACGGAAAGGTCACTGCCCACTTCGCCCACCGGTGGGCGCCGCTGGGGGCAAGCCCGGTAGACTTGCTTGCGTTTCGCGGGAGGGATTATTCGGCGTTCATACATAGTACATCACAGTCTGAGATGGTGTGCGTATGGAAGGTGGAAAGGTAGGGGGGAATTGTGACGGGGTAGCTGCGAATCAATGACAGACAGTAGTACTGCTCTACAGACCAAGATTGAGACATGACGGAAATTCGAGCGTCTTGTGCTTTGGAACGTCTTCAAAAATTCCAAATATGGTGTACAGCAGGACCATGAACGACACAAGATGACACCCCGCCCCAGGTTCCCCCGATCCCCCCGCGTTGTTTGCCATCGGGGTTGGGTTTCGTCGCTTAGCAACGACGTTGTACAACAAGCCCCCCCTCGGTGTTCCGCTCTAGACATAAGTGGGTTGTCGCTGTGGGCAAAGCGCTGTAAAACACGCCACCCCAAATATATCCCCCATAGTATGCGCTACCAAAGACGCGTGACGCATGGATGCGTGGAGTGAGGATAGCTGTTAACGGAAACCTCACAGGTTGAGTGATGTAGGAGATTGCCGGACACATAGACGTGTTGAGTAATATTGGCTGTATACTGAAACCTCACGGGTTGAGTGAGGTTTGAGATTGCCAGACACATGGACGGGTTGAGTGAGGATAGCTACATACTGGAACCCCACGGGTTGAGTGATGTTGGAGTGCCGGACACATAGATAGACGCTTTGAGTGAGGATGGCTGCATATTGAGACCTAACGGGTTGAGTGACGTCTGCGACTGCCGAACACATAGACGCATTGAGTGACGAAAGCTGTATACGGAAAGCTCACAGGTTGATTTATATTGGAGATTGCCGGACACATCCACGTGTTGAGTGAGGATAGCTGCATACTGCAACCTCACAGATGCATTGGTTGTTGACTTTGCCAGACACATAGACGCGCTGAGTGGGGGTAGCTACATACTGAAACCTCACAGGTTGATTGTATTGGAGATTGCCGGACACATGGACGCATTGAGCGAGGAAACCAAAATACTGAAAACTCACAGGTGATTCGTATTGGAGACATAAAAACCTCACAGGTGATTTGTGATGGAGATTGCCTGACACATAGACGTGTTGAGTGAGGATAGCTGCACACTGAAACCTCACAGATGGATTGGTTTTTGACTTTGCCAGACACATTGACGCGCTGATTGGGGATAGCTACATACTGAACCTCACGAGTTGAGTGATGTTGGATAGTGCCAGACACAAAGACGATTTGAGTGAGGAAAGACACATACTGAAACTTACAGGTGATTTGTATTGGAGATTGCTGGACACATAGACGCTTTGAGTCGGGATAGCTGCATACTGAAACCTCACAGGTTGATTTGTATTGGAAATTGCCAGACACAGACGCGTTGAGGAAGGATAGCTGTATACTGAAAATCCACAGTAGCTATAGTGACGGGACAATTCGAGAATGCAGTACACATAGACCCGACCCCCAACCAGTACCCGAACCCCCCTGAAAAATAGAGGCCATGCGCCCCCCCCCCTCTCTACCTCCCCCAGAGGATGAGGAGGGTACAGTCCAAAGTAAGCACGAGCTTACCTAAGATTAATGCCTATTGGTACGGCATTAAACAAATACTCAAGTCCCCCATTGGGCGGTGGAGGACTTAGAGCTAAGACACCCCAAAACTCTCCGGCGTGGGATCCAAAATGGATCG